GCGTTCGGCTTTATAAAACGTTTAGATTGCAGAGAATTTAAGGTACTGGTCCAGTTGTACTGTACCTTTGTTTTTTCCCAGTTTTTTAGCTCCATTTTTAAAGCACAAAAAGAAAGTCCAAAGAATGGTTCAGGACCGATGAATTTCGTGGATGACCCTATTTTTGCCAATTGATCAGCTTTTTCGTTTCCTTCGATTCCACAATGACCAGGAACCCAATAAAGGTTAACCGTATTTCGACAGGACAGTTGCTGTAATAGTTTAGTACATTCCCACACCAGTTTTGACGTGTAAGTTTTCGATTTCAAAGCATTCAGCGCCGCTTGACTATCTGAACAAATGCATATATTCGCATTTTTATAGTTTCTTTTTATGCAAATCGCTGCACATTCTAAGATGGCATATATTTCAGCTTGAAATACTGTCGGCCAATTTCCCATGGACACCGAAAAGTTAACTCCAGGGCCGGTAATACCAGCCCCGACCATATTATCTTGTTTCGAGCCATCTGTATAAAAGATCAATGATCCAGGACTTATATTCAGTCTTCCTGCATCCCAGTCAACGCGAGTCACACCAGGAACTTGGAAATTATGATTGAAATAATGTCGCTTTAGCATGCAATCTTCGTTCATCAATATTAATGGACTTATCTTAAACTCTTTTAGAATGCTCAAATGTCCAATAAGATCTCCATCGAAGAAATTCATGGACCGTTTGAGCCTTAGAGCACTTTTCTCTGTATCCAGTTGAATAAATTGATGAAGAGGAAGGATATTGAGTAAAGCATCCAAGGCTGTAGAGGGAGTACTACGCATTGCTCCAGTTATGGAAATAGTAGCAAGTCTTTGTAGCTTGTTTAGTTTGACTTGTGCCGTTTGTTGCTTAGTTTTCGGCCACCATATAAGTGAGGCGTAGGTAATCCTGGGTTTAACTATAGCCGAGTATATCCAGTGTATCATATTTGGCTTCAGACCCCATTTTTTTTCCAAACGTTCTTTCGCAGGTCCAAAAAGCATTTGTTGCTTTTCCTATTTGTTGATCAATATGTTAGTTCCAGCAGAGTTTACTATCTAAAGTTACTCCTAAAAACTTTACTTCTAAAGATAGTGACAGCTTTACGTCTCCTAGTTTAAGATCATTGATAGAGATTTTACGTCTTTTAGTAAAAGGTACAATAGTTGTTTTTGTAGGATTGATATTCAATCCCTCATCTTTGCACCACGATAGTGTGAATTTTATTGTTTTTTGCATTCTTTCGGAAACAACTTTATCGAATTTTCCACGGACTATAATGACAATGTCATCCGCAAACCCAATTATTTCGAATCCTTGGTGCTTTAGTTTTATAAGAAGGTCATCAACAACTAGGGACCACAGAAGGGGAGAAAGAACACCTCCTTGAGGACAGCCTTTTACAGCTGTTACTTTCACTACTGAATCTCCTAGATTAGCTGATATTTCTCTTTTGGATAGCATTTCTACAACCCAGTTGATTATGTTTTTATTAAAACCACGATTTCTCATGGCGCTTATCATCGACGTGAAAGATGCATTATCAAATGCACCTTCAATATCAAGAAACGTTGCTAGTAGAATGTCCTTAGCCGCAAAGGATTTTTCTATTTTATTAATAAGAGTATGAAGAGCTGTTATTGTTGACTTGCCTGACTGGTAAGCAAATTGTGTCTTACATAATGGTTTATTAAGAAGTATTTCTGATTTGACATATTCATCTATGAGTTTTTCCATTAATTTCAAAAATATTGATGACAGGCTTATTGGTCTAAATGATTTTGGTGAAGATTTATCTCTTTTGTTCGTCTTTGGTATGAATACCACTCGGACTTGTCTCCATTTTTTGGGATGTATCTCATTAAGAAACTAGATTTGAACAATTTAACTAAAACAGGAATTATTATAGATTTACAATTTTGAATATGTGCTGGAAAAATTCCATCTGGGCCAGGGGATTTGAAAGAACTAAAAGAATCTATCGCCCATTCAATTCTTGAGTTTGTAAATATTCTAATGGCAAAGTTTTCAGCCTCTTCATTTGACATTTCTAGCCCACATAGTGAGACATTTGTTTCGGTAGATCTATCACGTTCACTACGGTCTGAAGATGTGGCATTTTGCATGCAATCATGAATTTGTAGTTGATCATCAATAGGAAGGGACCCTGGAAAATGGGTTTGCATCATCAGTTCCAGAGTTTCAGAGTTTCAGTAAAATGTCCGTCAGTCTTTTTGAGAGTTCCAAGACCGTAAGAATGATCTTTTGAGAGAACTTTTTGAAGTCTTGCAGTTTCAGGAGTGTTTTCTATGTTTTCACACATGTGTCTCCAATCTTTCCGCTTGGATCTTCTTATTTCTCTGTTATATTCAGTTAACGCCTCTTTATATTGAGACCAGTTTGAAGTAAATTTTGCACGGTTGAATAGTTTCCTAGCTTTTTTCCGTAATTTTTCTAATCTATCATTCCACCAGGAAACATCTCTATTAGTCGAGCGCTCCTTTGTGGGACAACTGGCATTGTAAGCCTGATTCATGTTAGTTATTAAGTCATTAGCAACTTTTTCTAGCTTTGTAATGGTATCAATATTATTGAAAATGGGTTCATGTTGACTCTTCATAATTGTGCTATATAGTTCCCAATTTGTTTTACGAGGATCTTTATAAACCTTCTTCAGTATATCATTAGCCTTAAATTCAAACATAATTTGTTTATGATCAGATAAAGAAATTTCGTCTGATACATGCCAATTTACTATTCGATCAGAAGGTATTGAACTACAAAGAGTAAGGTCCAAAACTTCTTCCCTTATCGCATTAACAAATGTCGGGGAGTTCCCTTTGTTACATATGTCAATATTATGTCCAGGGTTAATCCAGGGTTACTAAAACATAACCAATATGATCATCTGCGTTATTCTTCTTCTTCTTCTTCTTCTTCTTCTTCTTCTTCTTCTTCTTCTCCTTCTTCTTATTATTCTTCTTCTTCTTAGCATTTCAAGCTTATTGCATGTCGCATATTAGCTTATTGCGTGCTCTCAACTTATGGGGTGTTTACATCTGTGCGGATTTACTCGCGCTAGTGTACTCGCCAACTAGCAAGAATTTCAGTTGCTCCTGAAATTTCATGCTGTTAGACGCTGATATCACATCTAAGGACGTAGTTTGGTTTTGTATAGAGTTTTGAGTCATTTAACCGAATGGCATTATGCTTATCACCATTAATGTGATTAGATTGACGGATTACTAGGATAAACAAATCATTACTCCACGATATCAATCATTTTTAAATATTTCCAGAACCATAAGAAAATCAACAGGCCCATACATTTATTTTCACTTTTGTAAGTATTGATCTTGATAAATTACCATGGTAACAGAATTCTTAAAATTATCAGAGTCTCAGATGCATTGAAAATGGTCTAGTCAAATTGAGGAACCTGGCATCTTGAATATATTATGGGTTGTGTGTCTTCTGGAAATACTGAAACCTTTGAAATTTTAATTTTAGATCGCGCATTTTTTATGTCAAGGAACGTTGTGTTTTCATGATTAAAATGTTAGAAGTTTTATTTTAACCAGGGTCAGGAAAATTGATTGAAGCATGAGATCTCAACATAAATCTTTAAATTCAAACTCTGAGTCATGATTTTTTTTCTGTGACCGGTATGATGAAAATTTTATTATGTCTGATATCGTCATCGTCGACTTGACGGTCTCGAGGGACACGGGTAGGGTAGGTGCTGCTACTGTACCTTTCGACCAATGACAGTAATTGATGCTATGCTAACATCCAGAGTTATGTGCTTTAACTATATGTATAGTATTCCTTTTGCGTGAAGTCAACGATTTACATAGTTGAAGATGTCGTGTCCCTCGAGATCGTCAAGTCGACGATCAACTCTTTTTGCTAGTGGTTGGGGGGGAGGGGGGGTAATACCCCTCACCATCCCTCTCCAACGGGGGAATTTGGTAAAGAGAGATTATCAAACCGATTTGTACATTCCTAAAGTTGTCCTTACTCGCTTTCTACTCTCTATATGTAATTTTCACATTGTCGTACTCTAACGGAACTATCAATTCTATACTTTCTTTATACTATTAGGTATTTAAAAAAAATTCACTTTGGTCTGTTATTTTAAATTAGCATCTTCAACTATGTAAATCGTTGACTTCACGTTGAAGTAATACTAAATATATAGTCAAGGTAGTATAAGTTAGACGCTAGAGAAGGCTCTGATAATCATAAAACAATCTGAATTTCCAGATCCAAGTTTGAAGTTGAAGCTGGGGGTGACACCGGCGTAGTGGTTAGCATCCATACTTCTCACGCCAAATTCACGAGTTCAAATCTCACCCCTGGACAAGTCACGAATGACACAAGAGCGTTAAAGTGACTATAATAAAAATAATTTAAAAAAAGTTTGAAGTTGTAGAATATACATGAGATTTTATGCCTAGCGTCCATTATGCCTAATGTACGTATGCCTAACCCTCGTGTGCCAATCGTATTTTTGCCAAATGGGGTACATTAATTGATCGATTCTTAATCAATTTTCTCTTTCGTTAATCACTCAGTTTTCCCTGTTGTATTTAACGTTTTAGATGCTCTAGATAACAACCTCTTTTATCAAACTAAAGGCTGACTAAAAGTAAATTGGTACCCTCCTCGCGCGCCGCTAGCACGTCTCTAGTGGTGGGAATCAAAAATCTTCGACAGTGGTTTGCTTACACTTCTATAGAGAACAACTGGTGCAAGTTTGATCGAAGTAGTCGATCGCGTTCAGAAATAACGTCAACTGGAACTTGTAACTTGTGATTTATTTAATTATTTATTTGCACAGAATTCCTATTTTTACAATTTTCCACATTTAATTATGTTGCATTAACTTTCGTTTTTCAAATAAATCCATAAATTTGTTCACCGCTACGTAGAGTTACACTTGTCATACAAAAAAATGTAATGAGTTCCCTACGTTCAGATTGAAGCGCAAATTCAAATATTATAAAGCCTGTCGAGCTTGCCGACGCTACGAAGTTACAGCGTCGTAAGGTGGACATCGACCCGCCAGATTTCCATTGAAAATGCAATGACCTTTTTCCGTTCGGCTTTGCGCACTCCTACCGAATTTCGGGGAGAGAGATGACTGGACTCTGAATAGTCCGTTGGAAGAGATGCTGCAAGGCACTAATAATCGGGTGCACAATTGCGAGAGTTTGGTGGTCGTGAAATTGGGTGTCGTCCAAGTTCGCGACTTCCCGGGCAAAGGTCACAATCTAGCGGCTATCTGAGGAATTCCTCAGCTTTGATCGTCCACTTCGAATCGATCTGTGGAAGAGGCAAGAGTGGTCGGTGTTTTGTCTCGTGTCGTGGTGTGATTAAAAAGGTAGTTTGCGCCATGAACTTTCTTTATTAGATTGTTAATTTCAATTCTTTCCCAGTAGTGTTAGCTTAGTGTAAAACCCTAGCAAGCTAGTTAGTAGGCGGCAAAGTGTGTGTCTCGAAGAAAGTACAAGGTAAAGTGAGCGTTTATCGACCGTTAGACAAGGTCAACTTATTAACGCGTGCGTGCGGGTATAATCCAACAGGTTCGTGGCAGCGGAGGCCATTTGCCGTCACACCACCCTATTGTCAGAGACCGCTTTTGACCCCACCTATCGGTTTCGGAGGATTCCCGGGGCACACGTGGCCGGAAGAGGGTCGCGATCGCCAATTTGCGCGCCCTGGACAGGCAGGCCAATATTCGTCCCATCTGTGGTCATCGAACACAGAACAGCATACGTTGCACGTGTTCCAGTGTTCGGACGATCGAACGCAAGTGCCGCGTTCAAGCGTAAGCCCGCGTTTCCGGTGAGTGAGACATTTCCAGCATCAGTCGATCGCATCCGCGATAGTTTCTGGGCCGAAGTAGTGCAATACGCAGCTTCGGTACCGCCGCCGTCTCCTCACCCATAGCACCGATGTAATTCCTAGGTTTTCGAGTGAGTACATGCATGTATATATTTCGTTGTGAACGTCCATGCGCATGAGACAAACGAAAGCTTCGCGAAACATAACCGTCTCATAGAATGGGTGACCCGAAGCCATCCGTCAGCCCATAAATTGTTTCATTGAATGGGTTAAACGTGAAGCCGAGAAACACCAGGAGAGCAGGAATCGTACGGAGGAAACTCGCACCGAACACACGTATGGGAGTAGAATGAATAGTGCACACGCTAGGGAGTAGAATAGATGGTATGTTAGAGGGAAAGGAAAGAACAAAGACCTAGGCAAACAGACATGTAGGGAGCAGGTGAAATACAATCCGTACCGAATAAATAGGATGGGAGCTTTTCTCTTAACTTTGTAGTTGAGCTTTGCTAGTACGGTGACAATTGTCATGTTCCGTAATAAATACAGTTAACCCCCTAAAGCCATGGTTTTTTGGGTAGCGTACCATTGATGAACTGCCGAGTTAACTTCTTATGAAGGATTTTCATGTCGTTTCGTGTTCGTTTCCTGTAGTTTCGTAGAGTCAATTTACTGGGGAAGTCAGCCCTGAATCTGACATTTATTGTGCCGGCAACTCTCCAATCTTTTCGGATTGGTTCGTTTGGACATTCAGGCTGGGCCTGTGATGAGAACATCCCCTAACGAGAGTTTTTATTCGGACGAATTGTCGGTCTTGTGCACACGCAATTGTTAGTGCTTTGTAGAGTTTCTGGACAACGGTAATTTTAGTCAGCCTGTCAGCTTTCTTCCCGTATTCGGGACATATTGACCCAATCCCTTGGATGGTCTCAGGCCGGGCAAACCTACAATCTGCTGGGTGGTCTCCTTCTAGGAGTGGCGCTTAAGCCACCCATCTAACGAACGGAAAGCTTGACGGGCTGGCGGGTTACAAACTTCGAGTTCAGAGAAGAAAAAAATATTGTGCATAAGCACCTGGAAAATCCGGAGTGGTCCGGTTTCAAGCTGGCTAAAGTGCTGAAGATGCCGAAAACAACAGTTTGTCAAGTGCTCAAAACCTACAAGGAAAACCTGAGTGTGAAAAGGAATCAGTGGACCTACGAAAAACTGGAACCAGGGATCGTGAGCTGCGCAGCAAGGTGTTGAGGTGCGTTAATTCCAACCCCGGTCTTTTGATCCGAGATGTGGACAGAAGGTACAGCGCCAACTTTCAAACGGTGCGGAACACGTCGTACAAAGCCAGTAAACATCCGAACCGACACATGAAGCAGAATTCCGTGGCCAAAAGGCGTGCAAGGCTCTTGCATGACCGTGTTTTTACTAAACACAAAGGCTGCACGTTGATCGATGACGAAACATACGTCAAACTCGACTTTAAGCAGCTTCCCGGTCAAAAGTTTTACATCGTGACTGGACGTGGGGATGCGCCGGGAAGATTCAAGTTCGTGTTTGCCGACAAGTTTGGCAAACGATTTGCAGTTGTGGCCTGAAAACGGAACGATTCGTCACATCCTCGACGATGATATCTCAAGTTTATATCGAAGAATGCATGAAAAAGCGTGTTTTGCCGTTTATCCGCAAGCATAGGGGCAAAGTCATATTTTGACCCGATTTGGCCAGCTGCTACTACTCCAAGGTGGTTCTGTAGTGGTATGCTGACAACAAGATCGATTTTGACCCCAAGCTAATGAATCCTCCGAATTGTCCGGTATTTCGACCAATCGAAAAATACTGGGCAATTTCAAAGCAGCGACTTCGACGAAGCGACGGGGCAGTCAAGGACATCCAGCAAAGACGGGCAAAATGGAAGAAATGCGCTGATTCCGTGTCCGTTTCCACTGTGCGGGCGCTGATGGACTCCATCAAGAGAAAGGTTCGAGATTTCGTTCGAACCGGAGAAATGTAACCATCTAATACTGTAACTTTGAAGTTTTAGTAAAAGTACTGTAAAGCAACAATTAATGGACTTATGGACTTTAAAAGATTACTGCAAATCCTTGAATATTCCTTGTTTGAATGGATAAATATTGTATAAAATGTTAATAAAACTATTATTTTATCCTGATGAACATGGGCGTCTTATGGGAATAAATGCCATCTAGGTAGAAGAGGATGGATGCTTATGTATTCTTGAGCGAACCTATTTGAATTCGATGCGACTCGTCCGGAACATATCAATATGATTAAAAAGCGTAGATATGCTGGGAAGCCTGATTTGGAGTTTATGGTTCTTGGAATGGTAGGAATAGGACTGGGGCAAGACCATGAAGCAATGGATCACAGCGACTCACGAAGAGCTACTGATTCCGATCAATAGCGGTGCCGCTTCTTCCCCCTCTATGGATGCTCATGTGGGCTGCGGCTCGCTGCTTGCAGGCAGCCTTTCGTTGTGTTCTGGAGGACACCATCATTCACCACACGGTGATAGAATAAACACCGCTTGGTGAGACCGGATGGAATTCAACTTTGAAATCTGTTTGAGGGAAATCGCTTTTCGTAGGCAATCGGTGATAATTTTAATTATCATAGCAACAGTGGAACATTGTGACATGTTGAAAAAAGATAAAGTCTTAATTTTTACAGATTCGTAGAAAAAATCCTATCGATTGACGTATTAAGAATTAAAACCATCATGTCTGGACCAAAATTGGAACACTTTCATGCCGCGATCGACTTTGGTTTTTGAAATCGCACCCCCAATGTTGCCTTAAAGTACATGGTATGTTAGATTTAAACATATCGAGATAGAGCTGGAGTTAGGCACAACAGCTTTTGTAAACAATGACTTCTTTCGATGATTTTTAGGAATTCAAGACACACCCACGCAAACCAACACAACAGTCGGGTAGGGGAAGTCTTACCCTACCTGATGGTGATGTTGATTTGCGTGGGCGAGCCTTAACTTTGAAGACATCATCGAAAGAAGTAATTGTTTCAAAAGCTGTTTCGCCTTCAATTCCAGCTCTATCTTGATATGGGAACTGACATCCGATTGATGACCTTGACAAATGTCCTAAAAATACTCTTTTACAAATTTATGGTGATCCTGAAAAGACCGTTCTGTCGTGATGGTTGAGTAATGCTGCGCTATTAGGGTGTTAAACACATATGATGCTGGTGAGCTGTATGTTGTTTGGAATGAGGGAGACGCGCTTGGCATAGATGGTCCACAGCAACTCATTCGTGTAATTTTCAATAGTGACATTTTGAAAAATGACAAATTAACAGATGCGTAGAAATATATCTGATCGATTGGCGATAAAATTATTGAAATTGGTTCAAGGGCAGCTGAGTTATTAACGTTCAAAATCTTACATAATTTTGTTACATGTTCCATTTTCGGTTTTCACAAAGTGTACCCCCATATAGAAATCACAGACGTAGTCCTGCGTCAAAATATATTCGAAGAAAAATTAGTAACAATTTTACTCATGAAACAAGCTTCAAACGAGAAAATCAAAACGACTAAAAACTCACAATCAAAATCCACTCCGCATTACAGTAGCTTCAAATCTGGCATCAAGAAGAAATTTTCCCTCGTGGATTCCACAAATTTTATTGCATTTTTACCCTGAAAACCCCCTCCCAGTTTGCACAGCACTCATCCCTCGCTCCAAATGGGACTCGAGTTTTCGATTGTTATTGAATTTAGCCAAGTCGCTCGATGATCTCCTGCTGATTCCTCTTTCTCTCGTCTTTTTTTTTTGTTTTCGGTACTTGCTAGAGCTGCTTTATAGTTCTGACCAAATCTCGCACAGCTTCATTATTATTGGTGCGATGAAGAAGCGTGTAAGATATCGAATCGAATTGAATTGAGTCGATGGAAGAAAAAAGGCTGCCCTGACTAATTCGATTTTATCGATTTTATGCGGTTTATAAAATTACCGTTTTTATTGTTGAAACTTTCCCACTTGGTTGCTAAATGGGAGGAAAGCATCATACGCTCTTGGGAAGGAGATAAAACAGTCAAGAAAAGAAGTGAGTACGCAACTTTTGGCCTTCCCGGCGTGGGATGGGTCGGTGGGTGGGGTCCTTTTGCAAACTATCTTCGGGGGCTTTTGGCTTTCTTTTATTCGCTTCGGAGGGATCGGGATAGATAATTTATATTAATGATTGGGCAACTGGTGCAAGTGATTGGATTCGAAGTTAATTTGTTTCGGGTGCTCTGCGAGACAACCGCTGCGAGGGCGTGCGGTTTATTGAATTAGAGTGCCGCACATCAGTGGGTGTTCCGGTAGGAATGTGATAGGGCCGGGAAAAGAGATTGAGGGGAGTAAATTTCCCAAATCCAGGTTACGCGAATTGCTGTTGTTTTGGTTGGCCAGATCATAGCATTTTGTGTGGAAGAACTTTCCGTTGGTATGCAGCCGAGATCAAGTGCATTGATGACAGACAACCCACCAAATGGAGCCAAGAACCTACAGTCTCTTTTTTTTTTATTGAAAACCCAATTGGCTCCTACGCTGACTCTGCTGGCAGCATTTGCAACTTAAATTAAGTCATCTCGGCGTCCAGATCGTAACGAACTATTTCGTCACATACCATTTAGTTGATGAATGACAATTAAAATAACCATTTCACATCACACTTTTCACCTGTTTTCACGAGTTGGCACCAGTAGTGTGCAGTACTGGTTCATCCGTAGATCAGAGACAGAAGGAGTCAGCAGGAGAACGAACGGGATACTGCATCCATTAATCTCCCGAAGCTGTTGTGGCCCTGTTTCAGGACAATTTG